CCAGCCTATTTATGTTATCTGCAGGTTTCCTCCAATCCCTCTAAGGAAAGGGGGTCTAAAACCAAGTAGCAAGTATTTTAAAATCTTTACGCCTTCTCAACACATTAAAATATTCCCTTTATTATATAATTTAAAGAATATAATTAACTTGCTTAAGCAATCTCAAAGTAAAGTCAAATTCAATATTGACCTCTCCACTTAACATATTCCATATTCTTCTAGAAAGAAAATGAGAGACAGACAACTCAGATGCCAGAATAAAACATCGTGAGGTGGTCTGGACAGAGGGAGATGGATCCTCTTGACCCAGGAAGAAACTAAAGGAAAAGAACCAAGAAAAGAAAAGAAAAGAACTGGTCAAGCAGTCCTGGGGCTACCATTGGAGCTAAGATTAGCAGCCACAGTGCCCTCGCCACAGCACCTGAACTCGCGCAGCTGCGACTTGTCCAGCTGCCAAACTCCCGCGGCTTCAACCAAGCTGACTGAACTCACACCACTGCGCTGGAAAGGTGGTAGTGCTGAAGTTGGAGGTCAGCAAGCCCAACAGAGAGGAGTGGCAAGGAACCTGTCTTACCCATGGCCCCTGCAGGTTGACTGACCTGGAGGAAAGGGGCCAGCATACATTGCCCCTGCTTGCCCCTCAGTGACCAATAGCAAATTGGAGTGCAGAAAACCCTAGACAGTGCACTTCAGAAGAACCATAACCAACAAGAAAAGGGGCTGGGACCTCCTTTATACACCTGTTTGGAAGAAACCAAAAACATGACAAGAGAAAGAAACAAGAAAAAGTTTCCAGCCCTGAGAACATTGATTCAGGAGAGGTAAATACAAAAGAGACTGAGGGCAGCAAACATGCACTATCAGACACGGCATCAGTGGACATAAAGAGATATCTTCGGGACCTCATAGATGAGCTCAAAAGTGAAATATTTGATCAAGTAAAGCAAGATATAAGTAGAGTAATAAAAAAATACTAATCACCTCTCAAGAATACACAGATGGAAGAATGGAGGAACAAAAAAAAAGGAGAGAAACATTCAAAGAAGAATATAAAGAATACATGAAGTAGGTTCAAAGAGATTACCAGGAAATAAAAACTCCATTGAAAGCTGGCAAACCTGCTTGAAAGAAACTAAGGATAGACTATCAAAACTTGAAGACAGGTTTGCAATGTGTGATCATGAAGGAAAAATTTCTTAAAAATAACAAGGAAAGAAGCAGTAACCATACAAAGGCTAGAAGACGACAAGAGGATCTATAATTTGAGCATAAAGAATGTGAATGAAGAAGCCAGAGTAAAAACAAAGGAAATACAAAGGCTATTCACAGAAATAATTAAGGAAAACTTCCCAGCATAGGAAAAGGAAATGATATTCAGATGTATGAGGCATACAGAACTGTAGGGAGCCGAGTGACAGGCATTGTTGTTTTGATGTTTTTTTTTTTTTTTTTTTTTTTATGGGCACTGCGTCTGTCTATATTAACCATAATCCTCTTTTGTTTATGTCACTTATCTGGATGTGATGGTAACCCTGTTATATTTATCTGTTTAACCTCTTTTTGTTTTAGCTCCCACCCTTAGCCTATAAAAGGTGTGATCATTTTCTGAATAAACCGGAAGCTTGATCAGATTATTTCGTCTTGCTTTCGTTTCTTTTTGTCTCCCCCATGTCTTTTGTTTAATCCCCGTTTCCCCTCCAGGAGTTCTAAACTTGTTGATCTGCAGGCCGGATCACAGAACTCCAGCCACCTACAACCAAAACAGATCTACATCTAGACATGTAATAATCAAGATCCCAGAAATTCAATATGAGAACAGAATATTAAAAGCTATCAGAGAAAAGAAACAGATCACCTGTAAAGGAAAACCCATCAAAATCACAGCAGACTTCTTGACACAGACTATCAAATCAAGATGAGCTTAGAGCAAAGAATTCTAAGCCCTGAAACAAAACAGCCTCCAGCCCAGATTGATGTACCCCGAAAAACTGTCTCTAGAAATTAATGGAGAAACAAGATACTTCCAAGACAAAGAGGAACTGTGGCAGTTTGTTACCACCAATCCAACCCTACAGAGAATACTGAAGGACATTCTAGCAAGAGAAAAAAGTACCAGGATTTCAGGAACAGGGGCAGAGAAGCCTCAATGAATGGAGCCTAAAGTGGAATAAAGGAGAAAAGCAGACAACCAATGGCAGAAAAATAGCACAACAGAAATGAGGCAGAGAAGGTTGACTATAATCTTTAATATAGATGGCCTTGATACACTAAAAAAAAAAAAAAAGAAACACAGGCAGAGTAGATCAGGAGGCAGGGCATCCACCAAGATGCTCTATATAGGAAATATAATTACCTTGAAAAAGGGTTTATGGACCTAAAATCAAATATGAGAAAAAATATGTGACAGGGAACCAGAGAGTAATAGGGGCAACTCGACCAGCACCTGTAGACAGGTTGGAAAGGCAGGTTTTGTAGGTAAAGGAATACAACTTGAGATCAAGTCCAGGAAGAAGGTTTGGGACCACTTAGGGAAATACAACCCCTCAATCTGAAAACTGAGGGAGTTTTCAGATTGGGACCCAAAAAATGCACAGTGCACCCTGTGAGAATGAAAGGGGAGGAATAATCTAAAAAAAGATGGTAGAGGTTATTGTTAATCGTATATCAAGATTTAAAACCCACATTACTCACACCACTCTATTTAGATAGATTATTTTCTGTCCCAGTTTGTCTACTTGCACTAGATCTGAGGGCACAGACAGCTATCCCAAAAATAGCAGAATATAGTACAGTAATCATCCTCAATTCCCTATTAACTTAATCTGAAGCCCTGTATAATTTATGTTGTTTTACCATGACTGATCTTAATTGAATCTGGTTTGTTAGATTGCTGTTTGGTATCAATGGATTTTATTCAAAACTTTTATCATTGATAGTATCAAGTCTGAGAGTATATGCAGCTACACTGAAGATGACAAGATTCACTAGGATACCCACTCTGGTTTGATTATTACCTGCTTTTGAAGTTTTCCACTATCTACAATGTTTTGTTTTTATTAATATTGCTATGTACTGCTATATTATACCTGATGATACAGACAATTCTATTGAAGATAACAAGAGACAACACAGTAACCATTGTAGATCACCTTGTACAGTGGTTTTATATGTCTTTTTCATTTCATGTGTTTATAGGAATCTGCTTTGTTTTGTCTTGCTTTGTTTTGTTTCTCCCTCTAATATAGAAAGGATAGAAATACATGTTAAGACTCATGCATGCGTAGAATGTATAAACAGTTTATGAGAACTGATCTTACAATGCATGATGAAATGAACAACTACTTTGAAGAAAAAGAGACACTACAGTACTCGGTGCTGATCCCATTGTGTCATGATGTGAAATCCAGCAATACTATTATTCTTTGTTCAGAGTGATTTTAGCCTGCTTTGGTTTGTTTAATCTTAACATACATGAAGATATGGATAACTGTAAGTATGTTTAAGTGCATAGGATTGCTAACCATGTTACTAAGTTTTTGATGGATAATTGAACAGAACTGTTTGCAGTCTTGCTGTTTGAATCCCCACTTTATACGTTTCACTTTTGTAACTTGAACAACTATTTATAAGAGGACAGTATGTAATTATCAACATAAGTAATGCTTATTTTTTCTTTGAAATTATGTATTATTTCTACCATTTCTGTTTTGTTTATTCTTTCTTTAAATAAAATAAAAAATTTTAAAAAGCAAGGAAATGAACAAGGGCACCATTAACCAATGGTCAGGGAGTAAATAAATCCTCCTTTCCATCCCTGCCCATCCTACCTAGTCACTGATGCTAACTTTGGCCACATTTCTTTAGCCAATTTTGCAAGAAAAGTCCATTGAAAAAATCAGCATATCAGTCACTGGAAAACAACTGTAAGGTGCATTCAATTGGAGTGACACATTGTTGAAATCGCAAGTGACTCATGGCTTCTATGAAGTGGAGGGTGACAGGAGCAGCTTGTGGCCCCACCTGTGAAATTCTATTTCTCTCATTTATAGGAATCTACAAGGGTGAAGAGGACAGCTGAACACCCAGGCAGAAGGTTAAAGAGTGAAACAGGAATGGCTCGATTAGACCTACTACCACCACGTAGGTCTCAGACAAGCAGGACCCTCCAAGGCAATAAGATCACTGATATTCTAGTGTTGCTTGCTACGAAGCACATGACTGTCCTCCAGCAAGTCTCTGACAGCAACACAGGCACCAGACAGAGCAGGGTCTGGATTTGTGACTGGGGGTTGCTTGTTTTCAGAATCTAGGGCCAATCATAAGTTCACTCATACATGGCCAAACGAAATGCAAGATGCTCACTAATAAAATCACTCTAAATTTAGGTATACCAGACTCCAACTCCTGAACTGTTGGTTCCTTGAGGGGTCTTGCCGGATTAATCTTTACAGCTCTAGGACAGGAAAATAGTGTCATCCACCAGAGGCTGCTGAATGATAAAACACTCATAGTCTTAAACTGAACACTTTACATTTACATATGGCATTCTTTCACATTCTTAAGAGAGTAGCACAGAATAGTACTGCATAAGTCACTGTTAACATTTTGCCAAAGGATCTTCTAAGAGAGGAAATTAGTTATTAATCACAATTCATCTTTAAAGAACATTTATATATTTTGCAAGCAACAAAAATCAGTACACAAGGCATTTTTACACATGTTATTTCATTTGATGTGTACAACTACACTTTGAAAAATCAAACTCTCTCAAAAGAAAAAAACCTAAATAAGCACCAAAGACACGAGCTGTCCCCGTCATGGTGGCCGGTTCCCTGAGCCAAAGTCCTTTGCAGGCAACAGGAAATCTTTTCTAGGGGCAGCCTGGAATAGATTCACTTTCCCAAAGGCAAAGTTGTTCCATTTGAGTAGCTGGCACATGAGACTCCTCCGTTCTTACCACAGAAGATGGCAAAGGCATACAATGAAACAATTGCCGTTACCTATCTCGATGTCGCTGTCAATATTCAGGGTCTCATTAGCAGACAGCATGTTCCCTCTCTTGTATTGCTGCTTGCAGACTTTTAAGCCAATTCTGTTGTCTTCATTTTCTCCATAATCAAGAGTCGCCAGGGAGATGTTCTTCAATAGATGGTACTAATTTTAAAAAGAGTTGAAAATTTACCACAAGTCACAGCACACAGAATGCACTTTTAGCTACGCTGAATTGCTTCCCTTGTGCCTCTCAGCAGCGCTTTCCCATTTAAACACCAAAGTAGTTTTCTTAGGTTGCACTGGAACCTATCACAGACACTAAACTGACACAAACATGCTAAGGAACAGCTCTCACCTCCCTCAGAGCTACAGCTGAGGTTCTGCCTTATCTCTCTGCCTTTACTGCTCCCCAAAGTTCGCTGGCTTTACCCCCAAAGTTACACCGGCCTCCACACAGTTGCTGGAGCTTGTGGACAGACTTCTGTTCTTGGCCTTTGCTGTTCCCTCTGCCTGGAGTTCTGGATCTACCTGCTCAGTTCACTCGTTCCAGGCTAGACTCACATCTCACCACCTCAGCAAGGACTTCCCTTATCAAGCCAATGCAAATTGCAACCATACATCAAACTCTCACACTGCATCCATAAATACATAGCTATATCTGCCAACTAAAAGTAGAGAGAAAATAAAAATAATTTTTTTAAAAGAAAACTGCAAACATCATTTCATGCCCAGGCACTCCCTGTCTCCTTCCTTGCTTTATTTCTCAACAGTCATCACTTTCAGACACATCACCAGGGATCCAAGCCATCTGTACAGCACAGCTGACATTAACACAACTTTGCTGTGTGGCTTCTGCACTGACAGAGCTCCACTAGCCCCCATCATTATCAATATGACTTCATAGAAAATTTGCACTTCAGAATACAGAAATTGCAAATAACTATATTATTTATTTCAGGAATGTTTTGCCCCTCAAAAGGCTCATGCCTTCAGAGGTAGGACTTTTGGAAAATAATCAGATTATAAGGGTACTGATGAAGTGGAATCATTCACTAAAGAATTCAGAGCAGAAGGGCTCTTAGGAGGTAGGGTCCAGTTGGAATATGTGAGTCACTGAGGGTGACCTGGAAGGGTGTATCTCGCCCCTCTACTCCTCTGTGCTCTCTGCTTCCTGTTCACCATGACTTGAGCAGCTCTCTTCCACCACACCCTCCCACCATACCCCTTCTTGCATTGGAGTTGGCCAAGGACTAAATCCTCTAAAAACTGAACTAAACTAAAATTTCATATCATGATCCCTATCCAATTCTAATCAAGTTCCCCCAACATCAAAGGGCCCCCACATCCACCCAAGGCACCACAGAGAGTAGTCAAGAAAACTTCCTTACTGCTGGGAGCAGAAGGCCCAGCTTTGCTTATCAGTATGTTTTTTGCATACTATTTTAGAGACCCAGCATTCAGTATTATACATCACATGTCTCATTTGTCTAGCTTTCACCTCTACAATGGAAGGTATTCTGTTTGTTTTATCCATTGCTATAGCCCCAGTGTCTAGAACTGTACTTGCTATATACTAGGGACTCAAATATTAACTGAATGAAAGAATAAAAACAAGAACAGCTTCTCCCTCCTAAATGTTTTTTTGGGGGGGTCTACTAATTTATTTTCTTATATCTATCTAGATATAATTATCTTATATTCATGTTAAGATTCAGCGAGGATTACCAATGCTAAGATATGGCACAACACAGACTCGTAGCTGATGTTCCCCATACTCATCAAAATTTCTGACACTATGAATCTCTTGGGAAAATAGGTAGGAAGTAATGAATTAAAAAGATAAATCTTAAGGAAAGATTCAAAATAGGTGAACGATTATTTAGTTCCAGAAACAGCAATTAATATTTTTGATCAACTGTGCAAAGCTTACATTAGAATTTTTTTTTTGTACCAGGGATCAAACTCACAACCTTGTGCTTGCCAGGCAGGCACTTATGCCACTGAGCTAAACCCCTGGCCCTTACATTAGAATATTTTAATGTATGTATAACTTTTGCTCCTTTCTCAGACAACAAGTCCAAGTATCAATATATTCTTGAAGTACAAGTTATTCACAGACACTTGCCTGATTAATAGCAAAGAAGATGCTCTCATAGGCATCCCCTTGCGTATAAATACTGCAGCTATAGTCATCTTCATCTGTGCCAGAATAGTTCTTCAAAAACAAGTGCTTAAAAGCAACAGTGTTATCTTCTTTGAAAGCAACCACCAACTGGTTACCCAAACCAAAACGAACCAGCTAGAAAAGAAAATCAAATAGGAATATGAGCTTTACCAACGCAGGAAAACACCTTGTTATTATCATTAACCCTCACCTCTGAGCATCAGAAAAAAACTCAACTCTGCTTTACACTAATAACAATAATGTCAAAACATAAGTTGCATAAAAGAATAAGCTCATGGAGCTACATCAGCAATTATAAGTACCATAAAGTTGTGTTGGGGCTTAAAACACAGTCTCCCAAAGGATGCCACTTAGACATACTGAAGGCTTGAACTGCAGATCCAAAGTGTTGCTAAGTCTCCACCTTCCCACATCTTTCTTTCTTTTTTTAGTACTGAGGATCCAACTCACGACCTTGGGCTTGCCAAGCAGGCACTTATGCCACTGAGCTAAATCCTCAGCCTCATGTCTCTTCTCAAACACAGGGAATTCCTTATCTAAGAAAAATTCTTCCTGATTGGACATCATTGTCATGAGTCCTTTCCCAGTAATCTCATCAAACAGAGAAAATTCATTCACAAGAGGGAAGACTCCCAGTATGAGGCCAAAAGCCTGCAAATTTCCTGGGAAAATGGTTTAAATTCATGTTCAAAGGCTGCAGAAGCTGGAGTCTGATATCTATAGGGGCAGCAGGGAAAAGCCACACCCATTAGGGAAGAGTCTGGCAGGGACAGCAAGATTTCCTCTTCTTCCACTCTTTGTTACATTCAGGCATGCGACCTACTGGAGAGGGTGCCCACGTTGAGAGGAGACCTTCCCACTCAGTTCACTGAGCCACCACAAGCCTGCTCTGGAAACACCCTCCTCCAGGCACACCCAGCATCCCTCAGTCCAAGCAAGCTTCCAACCAAAGTTAACCATTGCACCCGCTCTTTCTGTAAGAGGGCCTACATCCTACTGCCCACTGCCCTTTCCCTTATGAAGAAGGGTAGATAAGCTCTTAAATGTCTCTGGCATATGAGATACTTTTCAGTCTTGCAATACCCCACGAACATAATAAATGTGTATGTGCTTTTTCTCCTGCTAATCTGTCTATTGCCAGTTTATTTCAACTGCTACAAATACCAAAGCTTCACAGAGCACAGAGCAATTCCTTTTGCTTCTACAACTGGAAGAAATTACTCTCAATGGCTAACAAAGCTACTGGTCTTTAAGAAAGAATCTGTATCAGCTAAATTTCAATTCACTTTTCTTATGTTTGCATTTTAAGTTAATTGTTTTTAAAATTAATGACAGCAAAACAACAATGCATATTTACTGACAATATTTAGAAATTGGATGCATTTTTAAAAGTGTGTGTATGTTTACATGTGGCTTTTGAAAAGTAGCCAGCATAAATATCTACTTCAGCCAGGATGTAACATCAAAGGAATTCAATTAACCTAGCTCTATAAGAAGGTTCATATAACAGTAATATAATAGTCTGCCCATTATGATCTACAGGATTAAAGCTTATGAACAATTGGCATGCTAGGAGCCTGAGGCAGAACAACTTCAAACGGAAGCCAAGCCTGAGCAACTTATTAACTTAAGACACTGTTTCAAACTAAAAAATTTTAAAAGGGGTGGGGATGTAGCTCAGTGCCAAGGTCCTAGGCTCAATTCTTAGTACCACACACATGCACACTCAAAACCCTTAGGTAACAATAAACAATAATAGCACTCACTTTACCTATATGATGTCCAACTCATTCAGTGTCACTAAGTACTGCTCCTGATAAAATATCTACTTGTTCTTCTTACATTGTACCCTGGTATAAAGTTAGGCACCCTTGGGCTCTATAAAGCAAGAATGAAAAGTTTTCTTCTTTGAAACCAATGAATGGCACAAATTACCAAAAATTTACAAAAGATTAAGTAACTAAACACAAAACTATGTGTGCATGCCTGAATGTAACAAAACTATGTATACAAACATGTACATTCTCCAGTAAGTGAGTTCTAGTTTCTGTCTCTGTCTCTGTCTCTGTCTGTCTGTCTGTCTGTCTCTCTCTCTCTCTCTCTCTCTCTCTCTCTCTCTCTCTCTCACACACACACACACACACACACACACACACACACACACATACACACGGGCAGTGGTGGTAATGAAATGAAACCTCTAGAAGCCCCATATCCACAAACTGCATTATAAAGCAATGAGACTCTAGCTAGCTTCCCCTAAGTCTGTAACAACTGAATCACCAAAACATTCTTAGGCTATTTCTTCACTTATGAAAGTAGAAGCTTTAATGAAATGACCTTGACAGTTCTGTCATTTCCTGTCATCCCATGCTTTAATATGATGTATCCATGTAACAATCTATAAAATATCGATTATTGTATCTTGAAATGCTTCTTTTCAATTCACGTGAAACTGATGTTAATTTGCAGATGCAAACTGGCATAGGGTTTTTTATTGTTTTATATTTTTAACTCTTTCATTGTGTCTATTTTTTAAAAACAAAATCATTGAAAGTAATGGCCATCTTTCAGCAATTATTATACACCAGGTACCATACCAACTGCTTTACACACATTAATTTGTTTCCCACAACCACTCTATGAAAATGTTACAATGGTTATCTGAATTTTACAGGGTTGACACTGAGATTTAGTCTCATTAAATTGCTCCATGCCACATAATGAAAATGGAAATCAGGTCTGACTCCAAAACTATCTTTATTATGATGTACAAGCAATTCCGTTCTGCTCAAACCTCTTTGGGATGCTTCTCACTAAAAAACAAACCAAAAAAACCCCATTATTTTGAAGAAAAGCTTAAGTGTTAGCTCTTTAGAATTATGAAAATCGGCTACTGCTTGAGATCGTACTTAGATGACACTCTGGCATTTTAATCACATTCTTCAGAACCTAACTCAAAGGGTTGAGGAATTACTAAAATCCCAGCTATTTTAAGGAAAACATTAGATAACACATCCCACATCATCCAACCTGTGCTGAAAATTAAACAACTGAAGATGAAAGGTTCTTTAACACACATGAAAATCTGCCACTGGTGTCTATGGGAGACGGCCAAAGAGCTCATATTGCTTTTTGAAATTTAAAAGAGTAAGTCAGGGAACCAACACGCACAACATTGCAAGTCTTTAGAGGAAGACGCCCCATCTCCAGACTGCTTGTCTTACCAGTGGCACCACTGAATTAGGTTCCTCAGGCAAAGTTTGCTGAATGATTCCTCCCTGCCAACATATGATGTAGGCAAGATCGAGTGTGCACAGTGTTGAATAACAACTCTTATCACTGAGTGCCAAGCACTGTGCAAACAATTTTATATTTATTATATTTCATTTAACCCCCTCATATTCTACCAGATAATGACCCCATATGGACAAAAAATTTTTCCTCCTACTATAGGCTCAGGAAATGAAACCACGGCTACCTAAACATCAGAGTCCAATGCTGAATAAACTGATTAATATAATCCCATTTGATACATATGCAGCTGAAGTTAAGTAGTTTGGGGCTGAAACACCCCAGAGTGAAGATATGAACCAGGCAAATTTGACAGCAGAGCCTGTTCATTCTCACAGCTACTATGACACCACCGCCTCCTAACCTGAGGAGCTGCCAACTGCAGAGGCAGGCTCCTTAGATCCCTTCCCCCACGCTCATAGCAAAGCTACAGAAATGCAAAAAATCTCAATAAGCAGTGAACAAACTGATTCAAAGAGTGAGTACAATTCATTGATGTCTCAAGCCACAGCTTCATTTAACTTCTAAACCACCAATTCAACTGCAAGAGGAAGAGAGCGTTGAGTTGTGATCTCTGCTTGGGATTCCCCCTATTTAGGTGGTTTTCAGTATTATCTGGCTTCAAGAAAAACACGTTCTTTTCCATCCTGTGGGTCCCAGAACAAGACAAGATCTTCCTAGATGACCTAGCATTGAGAAGGGTTGGTATCTCCAAATGCCTTAGGGGAGACAACCCCTGAGAAGGAAACTGAAGTCTCTTGTTATGGCAAAACCAAGCCTTCCATAAGAAGCAAGAGAAAGGGACAAAGCTGTTGACCAAATGACTTTCTTTTCAAGAAGCAAAGGACAGCAAACAGGTATCCCCAGTCCATCAACTAGATCTCAAGATTCGCTAAGAACACAATTCAAGACTGGAAAATCATTATTAAGTTTAGTTTGGCAAAGACTGTAGACTGAAAACCTCCTTACAAATTCAACTTATGAGAAAACAGTCTGTACCAGGTAAAAGCAAGATACCACCCTCATTTTGGATAAAGAATATGGGAGGAAAAAAGTATAGCTAGCAAAGGAATGCTGAAATCTCCCTTGAGATTATAAATTACTGGAGAATTCAGAGTAAGAAGTTATCTTTAATTCCCTTCTAATCAACCCTGATAAAAATGCCATTCATTTCATTAGACCTGAGAATGGTGAGAAAAAAAAAAAATAGAAGAGGAGAAAAAAATGAGATAAGGCAGTCAAGAAATCTGCTCCACTTAGATATCATCCAAGAAACAAAACTTAGTAAAATGATCCTACAGGGCAAAAACAAACAAACAAACAAAAAAAAAACCACTGAATCTCTCCCTGTTTTATTAGGGGAGTCAGATACATCCACCAAAAAATCATATATTCTCATATTCCCAGAAAAACTGTGTTATTAAAAGTAAAATTAGTGGAGCCAGGCTGGTAGCTCACGCCTATAATCCCAGCACTCAGGAGGCTGAGGCAGCAGGATCGTTGGGAGTTCGAGACCAGCCTAGGCTACAAAGTGAGCTCAAGGCCAGCCTGAAACTGCACAGCGAGACCCTGTCTCAAAAAAAAAAAAAAAAAAAAGTAAAATTAGTGACATGGCAGCAAAGAGTATTAAGGAAAACAACAAACAGTGGCCAGGATGTAGGTACTGGACTTTGAAAAGCACCTGCAAAATCAGTGGCCAAAATAACTGCACTGGGTTTGGGGGAACAAACAAGGCATGGATGGGAAGGGTGAGGCTGGTCTGACTGCCTGGCATTAGGGAAGGAAACAATTAGTGAACACTTGATGGAAAGACAAGATGAAAAGACTGTGAAACCTGTAAATTCCAGATTATGGAGTCAAAGTTTTCTTCTAGGGAAAGATGGGTTCTGCAGAAATTTCTGAGCAGGGGTGAAAGCTATGCTAAGGAAAACTAATGTGGTATTAGCTGTAAAATGGGCTGGTGTATGTCAAGGGAAGAAAGGTAACATAAGATGAAGATAGATGCAGCCTAGAGTAGGTGTCTTATCTGAATTCCTACTGCAAACTCTGGGACAGAAATCATATCTAGAACAGATACCAGCATGAGAATGCGGTGCAGACTCCAGAGCCAGACAGGGCTCAATGCCGGCTCTGCCACTCGCTAACTGAATGGTCATAGCCAATTCCTTAACTCTTTTTGTTCTAGTTTCTCCATCCACAAAAAAGGAGATTATAACTGAACCTGCCTCACAGGGTTGCAGTGGGAATGAAACAAATTAACGCACACAAAATGCTTCTTGTGTCTGGCACATGGCAAACACCAGGCTGAGTGTTAGAGGTTGGTGGCAGTGTGATGTCTCCACAACTGTATTCCTGACTCAAGGCTCTACAAGTAAGATTCTTCACATATACTTGGAATTAAAAGTTAGAAATAAGGTAGAAGACATCAAAAAACATAAATAGAGGTAGTGTGGGGGCTAGTGGGAGGCGAACGCCAGAGAATTACAAGTTCAAGCCCAGTTTGGGCAATTTATTGACTTAGAGAGACCCTGTGTCAAAATTTTAAAACTAAAAAAAGGCTGAATATATAGCTCATTGCCTGGGTTCACTCCCCAGTACCACATAATAAAAAAAAAAAACAAAACAAAACAAACACACATGGAGAAAACCCAGCTACTTGAGAGAATGAGGCAAAAGATTGCTTGAACTCAAGAGTTCAACATCGGCCTGCACAACATGTCAAGATCCTGTCTCAAAACAAAACAAACAATGGTTAATAATAAATAGATGCAATTTTGATTTTAAAAAAGCAATGGTAATTTTTAGGTATCAGAATAAAGAAAAGTCAAAGATAGAAATAATGTTTGACATTTGTGTCAGAGATAGAATTTTGGTAACAGTACTGCATCAAAAATCAAGATGGGGGCTGGCTTAGCAAGACAGGAAATTGGAAGGCAATTAAAAGTAACCAAATAAAAAAATAAAATAAAATGGACCAAATGACAGAAGAGGGCATTATTTGTTTTCCTTTTAATGCTAACAATGCAGCTATCTGATAGACTGACAGAATTAAAACTGCCAGACCAAAAATGAAAAGATACCACTTTTCACATCCTGCAGTTCTTCTGAGTAATTTGCTTTTCCTAAAGCTGAATGAGCTGGGAGGACCTGGCATACAAAGGAAAGATCTCTTTATGAAAGCAGAATAAAGATACAGCTTCAAGTATAGCAAGGATCTCCTCTAATTTCCAAAAATATGCAGTGATATATTTCACGTTCATTGTATTGGTGTCAGAATGATTACCTGATCATACAGCCAAATATCTCAAATCAGGACTGTTAAAATGTTTGTCTTTTGTTTGTTTTGGGGTGCTGGTGATCAAGCCCAGAGCTAGGCAAGTGCTGTACCACTAAGATACACTCCAGCCCAAGGACTATCTTTAAAATAGCACAAGTTTCAAATACAGATATCTGCAGAGAGGCTTTCCCCAAAACTGGCTCAGTATCAGATGGTCAAAAGCTAAATGACAATTCATATGGCTATTTTGATGTTGGAGATAAACTGCTCAATCGTATAAACTCACTCTCCCGATAATGTCCAAGGATTAGTATTATTTAGAGCTTATGGCACCTGATAAAAAGGAAGCTCAGTAGCCTATAAGTCAGAAGACAAAAAATGCTCACTTCAAAACCACATTTGAATAAGGTGTATTTGAATAAGGATGAGGGATTTCAAAAATGTTAAGTCACTTGGGGCTGACAGCCGTGGTCAGCCTGTGGGCCACGTATAGATACAGAAAGTCCCCTCAATACTGATCTGCAGGATGTAAATCTCAGACTGAAACAAGGTCATCTTCTAAACCAAACTTCAGCCTCCCAGCTGTCTCTTGGCTGACATGATTTTTACAGCTTTGTGAATGTGGGTATGGACTCTTCAGATCAAAAGTACAGAAGTTATAAAAATAGTATCATCTGAGGATAAGGAAAAAGCAATCGTTTGAGTTACCTGTGTGGTGACCATGAGTATCTTCAAAATCTGCAAACCCAGTTTCCATGGAATCTGGTGTCTGGCCCGGTACTTCTCACAGGGGTTCATGAAGTAAAACTTCAAGTCTTCTCTCAAACATTCTTCTTTCACTTCAGAATCCAGTTGTGCCATTGTGTTTCTGCCACAGAAGATCAATATTTAGATACTCTGAAGAGCCTCCCCTCAGAAAGCTCCTGAATCGCATTTTCTGGCCACAATAGCTGCTTCTCATACAAACACAACTCTCTCCAACCAGCTGAGCTCCTATTCTGATCTGAGAACTATTCCAGATCCTCCATCACCTGCCTTTCCCCATACACATCTGGCTTTTTCCAAATAGCCATTCTCAGAAATGATAAAAGTGGAACTTTATTTTGTAAAATTTGTTAATTACTACATCTTAACATATAACATTCTGTCAGAGTATTACAAGAAAGTGTGATTTGAAGAAAGATGGACAAGCAGAGACAGAGACAAAAAAAGAGAATATATCAGATTGAATGTAAGAGTACGGATATATAATAGTGTCTGGATATCTTTATGAAAGTGTGAATGTGTTATCTGTAAGTGTGTATGGAGAGAAACTAGATAAGTCACTTTCATGATACTTCAGGTATGAAATAATAGAGCTCTGTGAAAGGTTCTTGCCCTAATATAAATTACTGTACAATTATGGTGGTGCTCTAACATGGCGGAAGGCTAAACTGGAAAGCTTACCACTGCCTCCTTCTTCTTCAGCCCTAACTGCAACGCCCTTTCCCATTTGCAAAGAAAATTCCAATCAGTTCCTCACACATCATCAATGTCCTCCTCATGCACCCCTTCTAATTAGAGGTCACATAACCCTCTGCCTCTCTGTATCCAGCTGAAGGTGACAGCCCACTCACCACAGTGGTGCTGCTTTCCACATCCTCAATAAACCCATTCTTTTCTTTCTTTTTTTTTTTTTAACTTTTCGCTTCTCTATTGCACCAGAAAACTCTTAACACTTTGGTATAGACCAATGTAATGAATTATTGCTCTGGAAATAGGAAATATTTACTATATAACTGTGGTGAGAAGGATCATGCCCCACCTGGTATAGATAAAATCTCAATGACTGTAAGATTCCAGGACACAAGTAGCTTCCAAAAGTTAAAATATCACTTCTGTAGTCAAAATCTGTCACCCAATATGAGTAACATTTTGTTTTTCCTGTTTTAGGGACTCTGGACATAGCAGTCAAAGTGCATCCTGACAAGTGGTCACAGGACTGGGGCTAAAACTGATGGGACATGTCTGGTCTCCAACATGGGATGTGCCAAAAATATATACTGTGAGTTCAGGCAACATTAGTACTTCATTTATCCTCTACCTTTAAAACAAAACCCTGAATTCTACTAGGAATTAACACAACACAGACTACACATACCTGATAATTCATGAAACTTACACACAACATAATATATAGAACATGTCACACATAAAAGATGTAACAGTGTTGTAGAATCACAAATAGGGGGCCAGGGATTTAGCTCAGCAGCGTAAGCACCTGACTTGCAAGCAGGCGGTCATGAGTTCGATCCCTGGTACTGATAAAAAGTTAAAAAAAAAAAAAATAAATAAACATACACACACTGGGAACAGTGTGTCCATACTTATTGTTGAATATATAATTAAAGATCAGAGATCACAGACCAAGCACAGACTATGAATCTAGAGTTCCTAGAAGCTCTCTTGTTGCTACAGAAGAGCTTGCTAGAGACTGGAACAAGCACAGAAAGTCAGACAAGAGATAGCCGCTAAGTCTAATAGTATTGAGTTCCTGGACACAGCTGTGCCTGAAACCATCCATCCTAAACTTTTCAATTTAAGCCCATAAACACTTTTTGAGTTTAAGCTAATCTGAGTTAGATTCTTGTTTCTCACCACCAACAGTGTCTTGATGGCAACTTTATTGAATAAATTCTAGTAGGTTAGGTCATCATTCAAGTTACTCATTTCTTGGGATGTTTTTATAATTGGAGGTTATTCTGGGGGATCTTTTTACTGGAAATGTCTAAATAACATATTTTCTTACTGATTTATAATTCTTTACCTACTTCAACTAACAAGCTTAAAAGAAACCCAAAAGGGAATGATTGTTTAAACGCTTACACCCAACTGATAATAGTTTTTTAAGGTGATTTTTTTTAGATCTCTTTTTTTTTCCAGAATTAGTGAATTAGATAAATCAGAACTGTTCTACCATAAAGGAGAGGAAAGAAGATAGGAAAGAAGGCAAAAAGAAGGAAAAAGAAAGAAGGGCGGGAGGAAAGGAGGAAGGGAAACTAAAATTAGATAAAACTATTGCTTCCTGGGGGATTTGGAAGAGCCTTGAAACAACTACAGAGTTCCAGACCAGTCTTAGGGGTTCCCTGAGAAGTAAGAGCCAGCTGCCACTCCTATCATCTTGGACTTGGGCTTTGTGGCATCAGGAAAGGGAAACAGAGAACTAAGAGTGTAGCCAAGATCCACCCAAAGCTCGAGAGAACACCTGCTTCACATTTAGATGAGTATGTCAAAGGACTGCCAGCCTTGAAACTGCTGTGCCGGCCAGGCATGGTGGTGCACAATTGTAATCCCAGCACTTGAGAGGCTGAGGCAACAAGAGGATCATTGTGAGTTCAAGGCCAGCCTGGGCTACATATTGAGAATCTGTCTCAAAGAGGTGAGGCGAGGCAGGGCAGGGGCGAGGTAGGGTGGGGCAGGGTGAGAAGAGAAGAGAGAAGAGGTGCCTGGCCTAAAACTTACAGGACTACAGGAAATCAGAGTGGTTCCAAATCCTCTTTCTAAGGGAAGAGGAAATTACAAAGTAGACCCATTCTGAGAAATAATAGCTTCAACCAGCCATTTGAGCCTCAGGCCTGGGCAAGCCAGATGCATGCAAAGACCTAGTTTCAAATCCTATTACAGCAAGCTCACACTGAACTTATAGTGGGTTCCAGATTGCAATTGCCTTTCCTGTCTCAGAAAACACACAGAGGCCTCTTCAGTGGTTCATTCTAGGACATGGTCACTGTAACAAGTAATGTATCAAACACAGTGACCAACATGGAAACAAGCACACCAGGAAGGGTTAAGCAGAAACAGCAGGAACAGGACTAAGTGTGTTAGAATTAGACGCCCTGGAAAATAATAGGCTTACCATAGTAAAGACAAAAAACATAGCTAAAATCAAAATGCTTTTAGAAATGAAAAACCAGTTACCACAATGATTCTCACTTCAAAAGAATAAGACTACAAATATGTCTAACCTGCGCCTGCTGTAGTCACCTTTTGCATCAATCTGGCATAGTGAGTACTTACTCTGCTGAGCTAGCCCTAGGCTACAGAGGTGCCTTGAAAGTCCCAAGCTAAGAGTCCAACAGGAGGGACTCCTTGGGACGGCATCATTAGCAAACAGCTCAGGGGGTGCTAGGCCAGACACAGAGTTCTGATTCTGGGGAGGGTGCCGAGAGATAAGGAGAAATGCACCAGTCTAACCCACAGGAAGTGCAAGGGGAGCACTGAGAGCACTGAGTGACCTGTTTCCAAGAAGGTGGCATCTTAACTGTGCCTGAGAACACCAAAAATGTGAACCAGAGCCTACAAGCATACCTGCCAGAAGCCTTCGTGGCTGTGCTTTGAGTCACACTAACTGCTGAGACCACCATCACGTTAGTGGGCCAGTGCCGCCTACTAATCATTCATCCTGATGATTCAAATATGGCTTTCACTTAATACAATAAAAAGAGTGCACAAAAAACATGCGTGTGAATTCTCAGGGCCCTGACGGAAAGGCCTTGTGGCCACCCTGCCTCCCACTACACACACCTGGCCGTGGTATGAGAAATGCTGAGCTAAAAACAGAAGTAGCTTTTACCAGAATAGTGGTGAAACCACAGAACATTGATCAAATACTGGGTGAACACCTTGAGAGCAAGATCTGCTGGAGACATCTTCCTACCGTCCAGGAGCCTGACCCATGGAAAGGAGAGGAACGAATAGATGACAACACAGTCAAATATGCAACAGCTGCGGTGGAAGCAAGCATTAGAGGGCCCAGAACAGAAAGTGGCTGATGTGGCCCAGTCACCTCAAGAAGCTTTCAAGGAATCAGACCAGGGATTCCTTCAACTACTGTAAGTGGCCACTTAGTGTTCATTCAGGAAAAAGCAATCCATATTAACATTTCCCTAACAAATGTTAATAAAAGGTTTCAGGCAAAAAATGAAATCAAACAGTGGCAGAAAAAGCAAGTAACGAGTGTTAAGATCACTAATTCTATTACACTACTGTTACTACTGGATACTTCCAGAATTATTTCACTTATATAATTTTCAAGCACTTGCAACATTTCTAACAATGTTAAGGATTAAAATATTAAAGACCAGCTGTGGGGGGGGGGTGGGCGGGGGGTATATAGCCCAGCAGCACAGCGCCTGCCTGGCAAGAGCGAGATTGTAAATTCGACTCCCAATACCAAAAAAAGGTCAAATGTGCAAGTGTATGCCCATAATCCCAGCATTTGGGAGGCTGAGTCAAGAAGATCACCAAGAGTTCAAAGCCAGCCTGACTGACAAAGGAGACTCTGTCTCAGAATAAAATATTACATTAAAGACCATTCCTTCAAATATAGGAGTCAGATGACAAGACATAACACAGTATGAGTTGCTTGTGACCAAATGATAAGGATGACATGAATACAGGGAAAATATAATTGATATAAATAATAAAGATGCATGACGCAATAGCTGTTTTTTCCAAAGCCTAATTTAGGTTTAAATAACATCTAAGTTTGGGAAGAAAGGGTAATGATATTTTAATTCAAAAATTCTGGTATCTCAATGAGAATATAAAAATTTTCTAAACTCTGAGGGCCTCTTATATCTCCCTTTTCCGAATTGGTAGATTTACTCCAGTTCCCAGGAGGGGCATTAAACAGACATGCACACAAAGATTACTGCTATGACAAAAATAAAATGGTGCTAAGAGGATGGTATAAAGTAAAAAGATAGAAAAAAAAGAGTAGCAGGAAAGTATATGACCAAAACATTGAAGCATTTAACACACACTTTTCTAACACCTTCTGGTGCCAAGCACCATCTTGGTGTTTAATATAGGAAGCTTAAAAGCTGCAGGAACAACTCCATAAGTAAGAATTCAATCAACAGAAGTACAGCAATTCCATCACGAGGCATGAAAACCACCCACAAGTTCAGAAAAAATTTAAAAACATAGGTCAGGAGAGGTAAAAGTGACTACAATGTAAGTCAAATTAGGCAACATAAATCAATGAAGGTCTAAATTACACCCTATCAGTTCCAGAGCATGAAACTGAAGTTGCACAAAACAAATAAAAGCAATCTTAAATTGTGTGAATTATTTGCTTCACACTAAACTATAGGAAATGCATGGTCTGGGTTTTTATGAGGTTAATGAATAGCACTGTTGAAGACCAAAATATCAAAGAATACCAGTATTTATAAGCACAGAAACAAGATCTGGAACCAAATGGAAAGTTACTTATGTAGTGGGCTAAATAAAACCAAGATGATGGAATGGAAAACCAAGCTGGGCCTAGAAGCCTGAGGTGAGTACTGTGGTGAAAAGACAGGAGCACGTCAGTCAAAGCTGCCATCATATTTAAGAAAATGTAGTCTTGCCCGGCTATTCAGGACCATGTGACAGCAGCTCGGTTTAAAGCTATCATATGATCCTAAGAGCAATGTCAGCTTTATCAAAAAAAGACACAAACAAACTTTAGCGACATTGAAAGTTCTCAAAGGTACGAAGCAGGTTGCTAGTGATCCCAGCCTTCCTGGGGTCATGAAGCCTGTGTGAGAACATGAAGAACACTCTTGATCTTTGCCCCTGAAAACACACACTATCTTCAGGGACAGCATCTCGTCGGCAGATAAGCAAACCAGCGCTGGGTGCTCTGTTTATGGCTTGAACTTGCAGGATCTTTACCACACTTGAGAGCAACAAGGACCCTGCAAGTGATTCTAGTATTCAACAACATTTGAAAGCCTTTAATGCAGACGTTACCTATTGATATCTCATCTTGTAATGGAAGTAACTTTGATACCTTGTGGTTGCAACCTGCCCCCCAAATACAAAAATCCAATTTTACCAATCTCCTGGCCCAAATTCGTATCTCTTAAGGCATCGTAGTGGCCTACATAACAATCAGAAATAAAGAGGGGAAAAAAGTTACATTTGAATAAGTTTTTTGAATTTAAAAAATGGGCAACATTTCAGAAAACATATTCTTGTGTGTAAATTCAGGAGATTTCTACATGGTCATGTTACCAAATGAAAAGGAAAATAAAAATTATAATACAGGACTGGAGATTTAGCTCAGCAGCATAAGCACCTGCCTGGTAAGCGGCAAGGTCATGAGTTTGATCGTCGGTACAAAAAATAAAAATAACATCATACAGAGTGCAGGAAGCCGGCATACCTGCCTCAAAGTATCTCCGTGCTTCAGCGCCTCTAAACAAACAGCAGCTTTCCATTTCTGTTGGTCCTGAAACCTCTCAGAGGAAACGGGCTCTTGCTGTGGATTCCAATGAACTCACCAGCACTACATGCCACTGATGAAACCGCTTCCCTCAGCTTCCAGAAAGCCCCACTCCTCCAGCTCTCCTACTTCCTGGCCGTCTCTCTCTCTGGGCTCCCCCACATCTGACAAAGCTGTAGATAGCAGGGGATGGTCCAGGGCACTGCAGTACTCAAGCCTCTGTTCTAGAAGCGTGCCCAGTCTTGAACTCTGCACTTGATAGGGGCTGCAACTCCAGCAAATCTCTCCTTTACCCAGCGTGCTTTGAGAGTGCCCCTCCACCCTCTTCTCATCGCAGCTGTCTGCACATTTTCAGCCACAATTACCCACAATCCATCGGGTGGTCCCCCGCCTACATACACTCCACAACGGAACCATCTGAAAAGTTTTAAAATTTTTCAATGCTTGGCTCCTAGCCCCCGGATGTTCTGATCTAATTGGCATTAAGTGTGAACTGGGTATCAAGGTTTGATAAGCTCCCTAGGATTCTAAAGTACAGCAAAGAATGAAAACCACTGCTCTAAATTCATGTTTTGATTTCTCCTTTTCTTCCAGTTTATCAAATCTCTCGTCCAACCACAGCATCTCTCTGACCGTCTCCATCTTTGTTCCCAATGCCACTTCCTAGTCCAAGTACCTTGGCTTCTCAGTGCTCCGCCACACCATAGCTGGAGGGTAAATTGCAAAACTAATTAACTTCAAAATACGGTTTCCCTATGTAAAATTCTCATTTCCTTCCATGTCCTGTGACTGCCTACAAGGTCCCCCCACTCCTTCCTACATCCTCTCTTCCATTTCCTCAGTGTATCTTGGCTTCATTCTCTCCTTAGAAATTCTCATTTGAAGGTGGTGGGGAATAATTCCTCTTGCTGTTCCAATTACTCTCCTGCTGTTTCCCAGCTCTTTGTATATCCAGTTCCTTCTGCTAACGTGTTACTAGTGTTACTTCTTAGCTCAAACGTCCCCTTCCTTAGGGTGGACTCCCTGACCACTCCATTACATGTGGGCTCACTATTGCCTCTCCCTTCCCTCGATTTCCTTCATAATCTCTATTGCATTCAGTTTAAAGGACTCTAACTTTCAAGTGGATAGCACCGTCACAATCTCTATTGATCTTCCCTATGGAAGGCTTTGTGAAATCTCAACCTTGCTTCTCTCTGTATACCCCATGAGACAGCAGACTGCCTAACATATAACCAGTGTTCAATGAATAGTTCTTGGGGAAAAAAGTGGGTGGATGAGACAGTACAGGGTTTTAAGTTTTCCTTGTTTTAATGTCAAGTAATAGTAACAGTCATACTTTTCACAGTTGTAAAAAATAACAAAAAATCTAAAATATTGATATGAAAAACTAAATTTAAAATGCATCAAAGTTTTGCTTAGCCAAGGTGCATTAGGGAGTTCTAGGTAAATAAGCTGCCTGGTTTATTGATAGAAAACTTATTGTTCTATTCACTATTCCTAATGCCTTTCCAAAATTTGAATTATTCAATGATTCAACTTATTATCACAAGTTGCTATCCACTGGAAAGTTAGAGTCCTTTAAACTGAATGCAAAAAAATATGAAATTTAGACACATTAAAATATTGATAAAAATCTATGATATGGCATTTTTAAGTAATTTAACATGCCTAAGTGTGACAAAATTCAGAAGCCCTGAAAAGTGACCGACAGACTTTGACCTAAAATTCAAAACGTCAAAAAAATTACAAGATAAACAGACTGCAAAAGAAAGTATCCAATATATTTACGCAGTGATAAGTTTATTTTCTCTTCCCCCTGAAATGCTCTAAATTACTAATAACAAAAAACACAACTCAGTACAACAGGCAAAGGATCTGAACACACCTTTAGTCTTTTACTAACAACAAAAATTTGCTAACAATCAGATTGGTAAAAATCTATCTTAATTTTATTTATCAAGTATAGGAGACAAACTGTTGAAGAAAAATAAATTTGAAAGGTACGTGGGTGCTATCTTTAAGAGATTCAGCGAGCTAGGAATCAAACCTCTGTGGATTTATACTATAAATTTTTAAATGGTCAGAAAGATGGTTACAAAAATATTAATTGCAGGCCTATGTGTAAGTATGTATTAATTTGCAAATGTCTGTAAGATATCATTAAATATTTTTAAATTATAAAATTGACATAGTGATATTATATTTTTCCAAAAAGTCAGCACTTATGTTTATATACAAACATTCTGAAAAGTCTAGAAGTGCATGAACCAGCAAACAAAAACAAAACACACCTTGGTAACTTCTGTGTGAAACATATTACGGTGATCTTAATTTTCTTATCAAATTTTCTCTATTTTCTTCATCATCAGTGATTAACCTCTATGAATTCATGAGTTATCATTGTTAAGGTAAGCATTTTCTAAGAGTCTAACAGGTACTAGGCAAGGAAGTTTTTTCTTGCCCTTGAGTGTGGTGGGTAGGGGTTAAGAGAGTGAAAGGTGATAAATACAGAAACTAAAATTCTGTATTTTGCTACGATAATAGTTATGTTGGCCTCAGGATGACTGTCAGGGGACAACCCAGCAGATGCAAGACTTTGGACCAATCCTAGCAACTGTCACATGATCTTTTCACTCTAACTCCTACTATGAACAAATTTCCTCGTGATTCGCTAGTCTTGTAAGAGAGCAAGAAAAACAATGTGCAGTTTGCAGTAGCTCTGGGGTTGTTGGGCCCCAAAGAAAGGAAGTTGGGGGAGCCAAGAAAAACTTCAGTCACCTCTTACATATCTCTCTCTCAGCATGAATGACATGGCATTCAAATCCTGAGAAGTACCCTGAAGAAAAGCAAAAGGAGTTTTTCATTTTCTATCAAAGCCACCCATAAAGGATGAAAAAGTTGAATTTTAGGAATTTCCCTAAAAACAATCATGACACCAAGTTCCTATAAAATCATCCCTCATCACTACTTTGCTGCCTCAGACTACAAGAAAGGAGAACTGCAGCTCAGTTGCAAACCTCAAACATCTCATTCCTAACAAGGCACACTCCTTTTGGACCACGAGAGATCTGCTCTTGGGGACAGCGAAAAGAACAAGAGGAACCTCATTTCTCAGAAGTGCAGGACTCCAAATGAAGCTAAAGCTGGGGAACATGGCTGGGACTACAGAATTTCCTAAGATTTTTCTTTCTCTGATATCTCTAGTAAGTATCTGATTTAATAGGGTCATGCAGATGACTCTCCTTACATAAAAGAAGTTATCCTGTACATGCATAAATAGCACTTTCCCTTCAAGGCACTGAGTTAACCTTAATTTTGGACAAGCTACCTCATGTCATATTGGTGAATCCCTTGACTCACCCCATCTCTAGAAAACCCCTCTCACTGGCAGAGGTGAGAGTATTTTTAAGCCCATCATTTAAATTGTGTGTCTGCTAGAATTATTAGCCCAAGGACAATTTTCCAGAATCTTCAGCCTCACAAGTTTGCAATTAGTGCCTGGTAGATGGTTAGGCTAAAACCATTACAATACAGTCAAAGGGGGAAAAAAACAGAACATGACTGTAAAAGGAGGAGAAAGGAAGGAGCTCACCCAGCTGAGAGGAAAGGAAGGTGGGCAGTGTGCCTTCGCTGTTTCTCACGTCATTCCAGGAAGAAGGGGCTCCGGCCCAACTTCAAAACAGGTCAGACAGCTCAGTTCAAGGCTCAACATGGGAAGAAAAACCCAGATGATTGCCAAAGCAAACAAACCAAAAACATGGCTTGGAACCTCTGATATTGAACAGACTATTACAGTCTGATTAAAAAAATAGTAACACCCAGAAACAAAGTTACTGTTTTCTATGAGCCCCTAATATGTGAAACCAGTACCCTTTAAAGTGGCCTTTAATTCTTCAGAATTGCCACATGGAACTTAAACTGTAGGCCTCAGCTAAAAAGAACAGCCCAGCTGCAAGGAAGAGTCAGTCAGCTTTTCATTTTTATAGCTAAGGTTCTCTTTGGCCACTGTTTTGTTGTTGTTGTTGTTGTTGTTGTTTTTACTTTGAAAACTGGAGCCATAAGCCATAAGGTGGAGCCATAAGCACCACCTGCTTTTTTTCACAAGGCTTTAAAAATATTCTTAGGTAAGGTTTCACTTCACTGATTGGGCAAGGAAATCAGTCTGTGAATATGCTCATCCTTGACTTGCAGTTCTATATTCCCCACTACTCAGTTCAAAATTTGTCCCACAAGTCTTCTTAGTTGCTTCATTAGGCTATCTTATATCTGGTTGTTTACTTGTAAAAAAATTTTTTTGAATTATTCTTTTGATGGGAAAAGAATGTGAGTGCCTCATTTTGTCAAGACTGACCACTTTGTTAATAGGGAAGATTAAATGAAAGAGCACCATTATGATGCTGTGTGGAGTGCGCAGGTAAAGCCTGCTTCATGTGCCTGTTTAAAAATGAATCATCTGGCCACTGGTTTAGGGGAGAAACGCATGCCCAGAAAGTGCATAGCAAAGGGAGTTTGACTCCCCTAAGGTACAATGAGGAAGATGAGCTAAAATCTTAACAGCCCTCTGTCTCAACAGGAAGAAGCTGCCATGCCCCCAAATTTGTACTATTTGGTTAGCACATCACAGAGGCAGGGCGGTTTTTGACAGTGTCAAACCCATATTCCACTTCTGTGAGAACTATATAGTTAGCTCAAGCTACATAAAACGTCAGAATTTGCATCCTGATATCCATTAACAACAGACAACACTCTCACTTACGAATGCTTCTTTTTGTCTCCGTTCACAGGGACACACAGTCTTGTTCCCAACCAGCACTGCGCAGGTAACTGTATACAGTATCTTTCAAGCTGGAAAACCTTCTAAAGCTGTTCACACCCAACTATATGTTCTTTCACAGTGAGCGCTGTTTCTGAAGATATTCACAGGATATGTTAAAACAAAAAAGGTACTAAACTTTGAGGGAAACGTGCTGAGAAAAAAAAAATACAGGAATCAAGATAGTAGAGATTGTACACCACACCCACTATGAATAAACACAAGTGGTTTTCCATCCAGGAAAAGAGGGTAAATAAATCCAGAGTCCATTTGTTCCTTTCTTTTAAAGACAAAGCAATTCGGAGTAAGACAGATGGAAATAGTGTTTAACGCCTATCCACCTGGCCCATTAAAAATAGACACCTTAGCATTTGGAAAGAGTTTTTAAATTCGATGATACAGGTCATTCTGGTGTGACAGTCACAGGTATCCAGTCGCCGATGAAATTATACCAATTCAAAACTGCTCTTTTCAAACTCTGAAAAATATATGCCACACAACTGCTCTTTCCAAACTCTAAAAAATATATGCCAAACTTGCTCAAAGTTGTTATGGACAGCCAGCTCAGACCTAGCAA